CAACAGTTTGGTGCATAAATAACATGTGATGATGATGATGAATATGAGTAACGTAAAGTGCTGTTCATATTTATAAAGATTAGAATTCGTTGATTAATCAGTTGTTAGCTATATTTTCGGCCATAATCCCAATAATGCGTCACAATATTCAGCCACCTTAAAAGGATTTTGGTTAGTCCTAATCCATATATTAAGCTTACAGTGCAAGATAATGTTAATAATGAAATACATATACAAATGTTAATTAAAAATAAGTATATTATATGCATTAAACGTTTTGCCCAACATTGTAAATTAAACTAGCATAAAAGAAAAATAGCATATAACTTTCTTACAAAACACGTAGAACTTAATTGTTCGGTTCACTCATTATCACTGATTCTTTGTCTATTGAAAAACGAGACACGAGTATACGCGGAACTTTGTAATCTCCCCTACCAATGAGAGTTCTTTAGAGGATTTTGACACTGTAATTTTTAAGTATCTTAACATCTAATGGAAAACTGGAATATTTCTTAATGGTGGAGGTCCTGTAACCATTTATTGTACCTTTCAAAAATTTCGAGATTTCGATTACATTTTGAATTCCGCATTGCATATCAATCGTAAAGCATATGTAGTTCGGAAAACCAATGTGGTTTGTTTGTGTGTTTTCAAATATTCGCGCAAGAGCTATCTGCTCTAGCTGTCGCTAATTTCAAGAGATAAATTAGTGGGAAGACGACTAGTTACTCAACAACACTCACTGTCAACTCTCGGGCTACTCGTTTGGAATACTTATATTTGAGAGAGAGTTTTTTTTTTCCCGAGAACGCCACGTGGAAATATCTGGGTCACAAGGCCATTATTAATTACACTGACCTTTTTGTTTAAATGTGGGCAGTGAATGTGTTGTTATAAACATCATTAGATCACAATACCATTATTAATTACAATGACCTTTTTGTTTGTAATGTAGGCAGTGAATGTATAATTATGTACGTCATTAGGTCACAAGGTCGTTTTGTTTGTAACATAGCTAGTGAATTGGCTGTCACACGCATCATTAAGTTACAAAGCCATTATTATTCACATTAACGATTTGTTTGTAATCAAGACACTCGGTAGTGTGTCTTGCGGCCAAAACGGGTGGAAGGTTATTGTTGATTATTCATTGCCAACTTTTCAGAACAAATTTACTAAATTTTATGAAATTATCCTGATTAAAGAGCGTTTACCGTCACGTAATATTAGCTTAAGCATTTAGCATAAATAATAATGCTTGATACAGCTGTACCGATTGCATGGGGGTGATAACAAG